ATAATTTGAAGCCATAGCATTATGGCGCTAGCATTATAATCACGTGATTTAATATATCATGTGACACTGATAATTGGTTTATTTATTTCATTTATAAAACAAGTTCATAACAATTACATTTATGCTTTACAATTCTTTTGATAATGACCAACTTCACCACATTTCTTATAATGTCTATTGTTTTTCTCTATTATTTTTGCTTTCACAAGATGATTTAAAATGTTTAGTATCTACTGGTTGACCTTTTTCATGCCTTTTCTTAGGATTTTGAATCACAATTACATGGTTTTCCTTATCACTTTCACCATTATCAGACTTTCTGATTCTTCATTAATATCATTATTAAAATCCTGTAATAATTCTTTTAGTTGCTGAGAATTTGATTCACTTAGAAATGCTTTTTGAAGTGCCTTCTTATATAATCCATGTAACTCTCTATAAAGCATTTTTTGTTGAATTATAGGAAGACTTTCTTCAAGAAAATCTCGATTAGTTTGACCAAATGCACTAAGATAATTAATAAAAATGTCTGATTCTTATGATTCTTGTTGTTTATCATTACTATAAAATTTATCTGCATTAATAAAAGATTCTTTAGAGCTATCAAGGTTTTTGTAATACCATTGATAAAGAATAAGTTGAATATGAAATTTAGCATTATTTGTTGAATTTTTATTGCAGATGCATCATGAGTTTCAATATCAAATCATCAATGAAGAACTCTTTGCATATAAATAATTTAAATTAGTTACCATTTTAATACAATTTTAATCTAATCTATATCATACTTAATTCTAAACATCTTCTTATTCAAATTTACTACTTTTATTATAATCTTATATTGCATTTTACCCTAATCCTATCTTATTTTAATTTATCAACTTATCTTAAATCCTATCTTACCCTAATCCACTATCTTAGTCTTATTTTAATTTACTAACTTTAATCTTCTGTCTTACTCTAATTCCTACCTAACCCTAATTTTCACCTTATACTAATTCTAAATTAATTCTTAAACTATCATTTTACTATATTTTATCTATTATCTTAAATACAGTAAATACTTACTTTAATAAGATTTTTTTTATCTTTATCTTGAACTATATTTGCAATATAGTAAACTGCCTAATTAATCTTATCATGCTGTCTTTGAAGCATAATAGGTAGATGAAACTTTGTTAAATATTTATTCACATTTTAAAGAGAAAATTCACTTTTTTGGATTTTAACATAAGGAATAGCTAATTTCCAAAAAGTATACTACTCTTATTTATCTTGCATATCTAAAGTTGATTTATTTCAATTATTAAATCATATAATGAAGTATTTGAATTATATATATAATATTTCAAATAGGTATTAACAGATTTTACTTGAGAACTTGCAATCATTCCTCTAGTAAAATAAAAGCTTGTATAACAGTTTATCCAGTAAGTTTTTGTTTGATATAATATTTCAAGATATGTTTTAGTAGTAGAAAAATCTGATAAAGATTTACAAAATGTTTTTTAAATGTTTTACTTGTTAAACTATTTCTATATATATAAAATGCTTCAAGAAACTTTTGATAGTTATCTTTAAGGGATTTTGTATAGATTTTTATGAAGATTTTGTATAATATAAAAGATACAATAAATAGGATAAGTATGAAAAAACTTGTCAAACTGCAGCATTAATAATAGAATTAATATCAGTTATTATTACTGTAGGTTCTCTATTTGTTGCCTTTAAGATTTCATGAAATAACCAAGTATATGATTTTAAGCTTTTATTAGAAAGCAGAGATTGTACAAGTAAAATTTTATATTGATGTTGGTTAAATCCTAAAATAATAATAAAGACATATTATAATGGTTTATTTTGTGAGTAATATCATTTAAAATACAATCTAAAAATTATATTCAATTTTCAACTTGATCTGGAATCATCCAAAATAATCTGATAAGTATATTATCATAATCTCATTCTCTAGTAATAATTTAATGAAGATTTATTCTTTTTGTTTATTTAATTAATTAGATATCAAAGATGTATCATTTGACAATATCTAGAGGTAGGATGAAATCTTTAAATAGTTATATACAAATTTTTAGAATATATTAGTTATAAAGAATATTTTTCTTTTAAAAACTTTCTTTGAATTGTTGCACTAAATTTACAATGAGAAGTTAAAAATTTGATATCTTCTATTATTTCTAATGTAAATTTTTTGTTTTCTTCAAAATCAATTAGTTCAATATTTAAAGGATAATTATATTTATTAATAATCTTGTTTATATGAATAATAGAATTAGGATTGTTAGTTTTAGGACATGAAACATTAATACAAAATAGACAATTGATTCTTTTTATTACTGTATCCTTTTTAGAATTAAAATTATATGAACAAGAATAGTCACACAAATATTTGTAATGTCAAATAATATTATTTTCATGATATATATGATATTTAGTTATATGAAAACCTTTTTATTTAGACTATTTGTCAAAAAACAGATCACATTCTTCTCATGTTAAAAAAACTTTTCACTAAATAGGTCTGAACTAGTAATATTATTATAAGAAAAAATAGACAGATCAGTTTGTTCAAGGTTTATATTATCACAAAAATCTTCTTTAAGTATATTGAATATGTATGTATATTAAAGAAAAGACTAAAAAAAGTGGCTTATATATTAAAAGAAGAAACATATGTATTTTAGAGAAGGTAGGTAAGTAAATCATAAAAGAAAAAAAGAAAAGGAATAATAAATAAAGTTACATAATAGTTAATATTATAATGTCATTATAAGTGATTATATTATGTGATATATTATGTGATATAATCATAATAATGCTGGAGAGCATGTAAGCTAAATAATAATTCTCTTATATTAATTTATTTTTTTTATTATTTTTAATTTCATTCTTATTTAATTATTAATTTAAAATTTTTTTTTGTAGTTTTTATTTATACATTTTTTTATTCGTCCTCTCCTCCCCCATTATTTTTTTTATTTTTTTTATTATTTTTAATTTCATTCTTATTTAATTATTAATTTTGTAGTTTTTATTTATACATTTTTTTTATTCGTCTCTCTCCTCCCGTTATTTTTTTTCTTTTAGTTTTTATATATATTAATTTTTTCTATATTTATTATTTTCCTATTTAATTTATTATTTTATTTGATTATTAATAATAATAATTGCGATTGTGTCACTGCGATGAGCTGAAGGGTAACACACCTGAAAGGGCGAAATCAGTCTTAACTAAAATCAAAAACGAAGTCATTAAATTTTGATTAAATAATCAAAAATTAATAATCAAAAAAATAAGTAAATAATAAAAAAGTTATCCACCTTACTACGTCACTACGACAATCCAAAGTGGCGAGTCTCCTGATATAACCTATAAAGTATAAACAAAAAAATAAAATTATTAATCAATAATTTATTATTAATTAAATAAATAATTAACAATAGGAATAAACAATACTTAATATTAGGAAAAAAATAAAAACAATTTAATCATACACTTGACTATGCTATCGTGATAGACTGACCGATCTGAATCTTTTTTTTTTTTTAAAAAAATACCTTTATTCTTTGAGGTAGAAATTCTTTCTCTACCTTATCCTCTATCTTATCCTTTACCTTTTAGTGTTAGTGTTAGTGTCAGTGTTAGTGTCAATGTTAGTGTCAGCGTTAATGTTAGTATTAGTGTTAGTATTAGTGTAAGGTAAATATAATAATAAGGTATATTGTAATAATGGCCAGTCATTGGCATTATACAAATTGCCAAAAAGGAGAATTTTTTGTAAGAAAAGGAAATTTTTTTGTTGCTCAAAGGCCCAGAAATCTGGTTTATACTAATAAAATCACACTAAATTTTTTTTACCATAATACCGATCCTCCTTTATTATATAGTATGTTAAAATTTTATTTTATTAATAATGTCCTGTAGGGTAATTTTAATAGCAAAAATCTCAAAGTATTACAATTAAATATTTACAAATGATAATTAGAAATTGTTTTTTACTATGGGTGACTACATTACCCATTTGTTTTATTTTGTATTTAAATAATAATAATTTTATTGAAAAAATTAAAAGATAAAAATAAAAAAGATCATGGGTGATAAAAAAAATTAAAAACAAAAATTAAAAAAGAAATTAAAAAGTTCGCAGGTGTAAAAAATATAATAAAAAAAATTAAAAACAAAAAACAAAAATAAAAAGATTGTAGGTGGGTAAAAAATATAAAAAAAAAAATTAAAAAAAATAAACGGGAGGAGGGAGGACGAATAAAAAAAATAAAATATATAAAATTAAAAAAGAAATAAAAAAATTAATAAATTAAATAAATTAAAAAATAATAAAAAAAATAAACAGGATGAATAAAAAAAATACATATTTCAATAGTCACTTTTTTTTTCGGTTTTATAATTAGAAACAATTTTGCACATGATAAACGTGGATGCGGGCACTTCAGACCTCATCACGACGGTGTAGTCAGGTGCATGATGATTTGATTTTTTTTTTGAATTTTCTTTTTTTGCATTACTTTATTATTGATTTTTCTTTTTTTCTTTTATTCGTTTTAATCCAAGGCATTTTTTAGTCCAATCCGGATGATTTCGTCTGGTTCGATCGGTCTGTCACAGTGACGGTAGGTGATGTTTCTTGTTTTTTTTTGCATTGTTTTGCATTGCTAATCCTTTCTTTTTTTTTTCTTTTCTTTTTTTCTCGACGATTTTAGCTTTAGTTCAGATTTCGATCATTTTGGTGCAATCAGTCCATCACGGCGGTGTGTGATTTACCCTTTATTTTTTTTTTTGGTTTTTTTGCATATAATTTTATTTTTATTTTTATTTTTTTTTTTTTTAATTGATTTGTCTTTTTATTAATCAATCAAATTAGTCATCAACCCTTAAAAAGTTAGGTTTAAATACCGATTTTAATTTTTTAAGGCTAGACTAGAAAGATATAATTATTTTTTGCTATGATCAGCGGCGATATGAACATTTTAAGTCAATGTACTTTCCTTTTTTATATTAGTCAAATATTTTTTTATCAACCAAAAATGTATATTTCGTTAATAAATAATAAATTTTATATTAATTAATTCGACTCTCTATTTAAAATTAGAACAATTTATTATTGGTTGAAAATGTTTACTGTGGTGTAGTATTTTCTTTATATTTTAATAATTATATATATTAAACAAAAAGTTGCAAAAAAATTCAATACATAAGTGTGATTATTCAATATATTTAAAGAATCAAGTCAAATTTTCGTCGTGTTGATCCATTCTTTACAAAAAATTTGAAGTTGGTTATAATTCTTTTAGCATATTTTAGGATTGGCAACTAAAAGAAAATAGGGTTTTAAATAAATTATAATAAAAAAAAAAATAAACTAAATTAAAAATGACTTTCGCAACAGTTTCATAATTAAGTTAAAGTACC